AAATCAGGATATGTGTGTGAGGCCACATACTTCTTGGCAACATTATTTCCTGAAGCCAGTTTTTACTGATTACTCTTGTATGTAGTTACATGTTGGGGTCCTTAAACAGGGTTAAGAAGCAGACTGACTTGCTATGAACTTACCAGTGCTTCTGGGTATTGGAATTGCATTAAGGTTCACTCACTGACTACAGTTAGAGAATTCCTTGATTCATGTCAAGGTAGTTGTATGCAAGGATTGTGTTTATTTGTAAAAATTTTCTGTTGAGGGGCACCACTGACTTCCTGCAGGCACTCGGAATAATTAGAGCATAATTTTGAGTTTGAATGCCAATAACTTAACTATGTAGAGACTTCCTTATTTTGAAAATCAGCCCTTTGCTGGGATAGCTTCAACTTAATTTCTCAAGCAGACGAGTTAAATAACAGTGAAAAAACTAAAGAGTATCTCTAAGTTTATAGCAAGACAGAGGGGTGTTACAAGCACAAGTAAACCACAGATCCCATGTGTTTGTTGTGAATGTAAGGACAAATCTAGCTCAGCATAATGTTGTCAAATGAATTAGGGTGGAGGCAGGCATGCTGTGACTGTGAGTGTTTTGCTGAGGTGTGTGTCTTGGAGTTAAAGGTGTGGTTAAGGCACTTCTCACGTATGTTCTGTGGCTCACAAGTTGGGTTTTTTCCCCAGTATGTCATTCCTGTCCAAATAGGGAGATCATTATAGTCAACTTGAGCATTTACTATTAAATACAGAATTTTGTATGACATACAAAACCCTTTATAAACCACAGATAAATGATTTGGCTTTGCTGTTACAGCTGTGCAAGATGTTGGTCAGCATGACGCAGAGAATCCAGGACATGTCTCCTGTATAGATTTTTTCCCCCCCTATTTTTTAAAGTAGCAGCTCCATCTATAATTTTAGCTGACTTTATTATTGATGAACTCACTTCTAAATTAGGGTGATACTAGCATGTTTTGCCTGGCTTTATTTAAATCTGTTTGATCTTGAGGAATATTCTAAACAATTGATTCGAACTAATTTTCCATTGTCTTAAAATGTGGATATATTACTTTGTTTATGCAATTTAAGAGGGGGGGGGGGGTGGGGAGGGAGAGGGAGGGTGTCCTTGGAGTGCCCAGCCAAGTGAAACTCCCCATAAATTGGGATACTGTCAGAAAAGGGTCTCCTGTTTTTCTAACAATGTAACATATCTCAGAACAGAGCCTCCCAAATTCATCAAACCAGAAGTTGTCCTTTTGCTTATTGCAATATCATCTATGTTACTTTGTTTAACAGTGTTATTTGATTGTAATATGTAACAATATTTAAACCACATGAGGTTACGTAGTCTTTTAAATGTTATTAGGACCTTGCTGGATTTATGTTCGTTTCAATCAGCAACTTCTGCCGCTGGTACCAACAGATGGGTGTGTGTGCAGTGCTGCCGTGACAGCCTCTCTTCATAGAAAGGGATTTCTAGTCAGAAAGACAAGTAATAAACATGAATTATCTTACCAATAAGGATATGAATGGAAATCCTGAGCTGATGGGGCTGGCCAGAGCAGAAATTCCCCTTTCCTTCTGCTTCCATGCGGGACATGGGTGAGGAATAACCAGCTTGGATAAGGAATAACTAGCTTGAATGAAAGAGGATTGTCCTCTTTCTTTAACACAATTGTACTGCAAACCTGCTTTTCACCTGATGCTTTACCACGCAGGCTTCCCAGGAGCATCTGGCTCCTTCTTGGAGCTAATCTTCCCCTTCATAAATGCATTCTTAGGGGAAATGGCTATCATCATCATTTCTGCAGTTTTTCTCTGGAAAATTTTCTTTCTCTTCAGACCCTGTTACCTTTAGTCCATAGTCTTTTGCCACATCACTTCACCTGCTTTTTCCCTTTTGCTGCTTACCTGCACTTTGCAGGGATGGGGCAGGTTGTGGTTTGTGGGAGAGGAGCAGGAGAGGGGTAAGTTGGTTTGGCAGGTGAGTTACATGGTGACAGCTGCCAAGTAAAGGAGTACGGCATGGGAACGGGGACAGCAAACTGGGTCAGGGAGCTGAGGAACTACTCACAGCATTGCCGTGCCCCTCAGCACTGCCTGACCCTCTCCTGCATCAGTGAGTTTGTCCTTAATCCACGGACACGAAGTTGATTCGGGCTCATGTCTGCAGTCACTGTGGAAAAGCATACCTCACCTTCTCTGGCATTGCTCCCATCCCGCTTCTTAAAACAGAAGAGGTCCCCTCAAAATTCTTTTAATGATTTTTTTGAGGTCATAGGTTTAAACAAAAGGATAAAAGTTAGATTTTTTTTTTTAGCATGACATTAATTTCACTGCAATGCATATGCTGTGTATTTTCTAGAACCCTAGTCAATTTTTAATGTAGTCAGAGTTGTAATTTTTTTTTGTTCCTGGTTCATGTATCTTACAAAAATCCAAATGGAGCCTTCCAGGGAGTGTGTACTTTTGTGTTAATATTTGACATCTGCAGGGAGACAAACTTAGCAAGAATTTATTACCAGAGAGAAAGAATTATTTTTCTTGAATAGTTATGCAAATACTGATTTATTTATTCTCTTTTCAGACCATGGTTTGATGATGACGTGGAGTAGAAAACATGGGTACTAGTGAGTTGCATATCATGATGTGCAGCGAATGGGGTACGTGAAAAAGAGAGGTCAGTGAGGAGAAGCAGGTCAGGTCATCACAGTTACCCACCTAGTGCAATGCCCATACTTGAGGACAGTGACAGCACAGAGTTCAGAGACTCTGTGAAAGCTGAGACAGGAAGAGTAGCAAGCTCTTTTCCAGTTGCTTAGCTCCCTCTAAGCTTTTGTTTACATCCATGTTTCCATTTACCCTTTTTTTGAGAAACAGAACCAAAGCCACAACAGAAACTGTGTAAAGGGAAGATGGTCTGCAAAGGATCTGCAGGGTTTCTGTAGAGAAACTTTCTCCAGCTCTACCTAATGTTTGCAAGAAAATGTTCTGCATCAATCCTGCTCTGGATTAGAGGGGCAAGGAGCAACCAGGTCCCTTGAGCTGCATTTGTAGCAGCTCCTCATTAATTCTCACCCGGATTTTGTCCCTCTGTAGCCCAAACAGAATGGGCATGAGAAACAAGACTGTGATTTTGTGGCAGGGGTGGCCACCCAGTATGACTGTTTCCTTGAATTTAGCTTCAGCTGGGTTGACAATTCTCTTCCATTCAAGAATGCAAACAGGTCCTCATGCAAGCGACTTGGGCTCCCCAGCATTCAGCCTGAGGCTCACAAACAATGCAACTGAGGTGGGAACTCAGAAAGGAAAGCAGGAAATAGAAGTGTCTCCGGTTTCCCTCCAGGAGGGCTTACGCTGTATTGCCTGGTTTCACGATGGGACAACACCAAGTTTGAGCACGAAGCAGAATAAGATGAATCTTATTTTTGCACACACATACCCACTCAGTGTGTATTTATATTTATATATATGTGCATGTATAAATATATGTATGTATACATATGTTGCCTGATCTGATGGGGCAGAAGAAATGTGAAATACCTCATTTTCAGGAGGATCAGGAATTTGAGGGAGGATGCCATGTTGGTTACCTGGGAAGAAAGTAGAAGTGCAGGAAGAATCTCCTTTCCCTTCCCTGGGATTTTGGTTTTATTCACATGTACAATTCGTATTAGAAGCTGCTTTGGTAAAGCAGCATTGCTGAAATCTTATATAGAGGCAGATATTGGATTATGCTCACGGTTTATGTTTGTCTGTGTGCAGAGGAGACATACATTCATGTGATAGCTGTGATTCCTCTCTGGACAAAAAAAAAAATGCTGTGTCTAAAGGGAGTGAAAGCTTCTCTTGTATTTATTATTGCTTCTAGGATTTTGTAGTTTCGAATGTGTCAGGATAAGTGCTGTATTTGAGAAAAGCAAAGGGAGGGTTGGGAATATAATTACAGCCAAAAGTTCTTTCTGGGCACAGGTTGCTTGCGCGTGTCATTCTTGAACTGTGTGATCTTTTCTCAGGAGGAAGAGACCCAAAAGGGTCATGGGGTTTTTCGAGGGGGAGAGAGGAAATGAGAAACACTTTCCCTCTTTCGGAGAAAGGTAATAGCAGGATATACCAGGATCCTGTCAAATCCTATTTATTGTCCCAAAGCCTTTTCAAAGCTGGGAACAAATCTGCACCAAAAATCCCAACGTTAGTACATGCAGGAAGAAAAATGCTGAGGAGAGGAGGGGAAGAATGAAGGCAGATTTAGTTCCTAGGACTGACTGACACTAGCCAGAGTTGGGACCAAACAGAGGTATTTACATGGAAATAAATATGGCTGCATCTTGTGCATCATAAATTATGGCTTCTGACACTGAAGAACTATGAAAATCCAGACCCAGTCAGTGATTTCTAGCCAAGCCTGTTCAGTTTTGAGCTCTCACAGCGCTGCAGCAGAGAGGTAATGGTGACTTCACTAAAGCTGTTCATCATGTATCCCATGCCTGACATCCTCCAAAAACAGCAGTTGCCCTGAATTGTGCTTCCAAACCTACCTGTATCTGAGGTGGGTTTTGCCACTCCAGACAGGAAAATGTCAATAGGAAAAAAGCAGTCTGTCCTAAAAAGCACAGTTCAGTAACGCCTAAAAGTGCATATTTCAGCCTGGCAGATCCTGTCAATTTTTATCTGTAGTGTGTCTGCACCCCCCCACCACCTATGTAAGGTAAAACAGCTTCCAGAGTCCAGATCAAGCAGTACCATAAAAACATGTATCTGGCACTTGGGTTCAGTAGTCTCCTGAAAACTCCATGTACCCAACCACAGGTGGAGCGCGGTACCTGTTTCTTTTCTGGATCCTGCCCTTTTCACCTTCCTGTGGTGTGTGCTCAAAGTAGACAGTACCAGTTCCTCCATCCAGCACTTCCCACCGGAGTGAGAGAGCAATTGAAAAAAAGTAAATCCTTCTGCTTGTTAAATCTAGTTCCTTTTTGCCACGTGCATCTCAAGAATTATTAGATAAAAGTGATATTTTATTTGATTGAAGTCGGTGGCAATCTATCTTTGATTTTAGTCAGGACAAGGATTTCACACACATAGCTATCAAAATAATAATTTTTCAATAATCCGTCTTCGACAGCTGGAGGGGAATAATAATATTTGGAGATAAAGGCTGAAAATATTGAGGGACTTTTGAGGTGTCGTGTCCATCCTTCTTTTAGTGCTGTCGTGCCTCAGTGAATTGGGGGTCACATTTGAGTGGTGCGGGTGGTTTCTACACAGTGGAAGTTCAGGAAGGGCCAGGGGCTGAACTGCTGCTTTTGGGTCAAGATGCCAGCTTGCAAGGTGAGAGGTTTGAAGCAAGAAGGAATACCTGTAATGTTGTCTGGCTTGATGTTTCATTTCTGGACCTAAAATGGAGGTAAACGAAGGAAGGAATGTAGTTTCTTGTCGAGATTTGTTGTGGTGGTGGTATTGGCATGTAAGTAGTCGCGTTTGGATTAAACATTATTGGGAGCTATTGGGACAGCTTCCTTTCCTCGTTCGGCTGGTACTGCTGGGAATATTCAAAGGAAAAAACGGCCTATGTGCTGCTGTGACAACTTGTGGAAAGGGACCCTTCTGTTTATCAGTAAGTCAGCGCCTGGTGTTGGTGCGTATGCTGCGTGCATGTGACATAGGTGTACCTGCGTCTGCCCATCGGACCGCGGGCGGCATGCCCTCCCTCCCGCCCGGAGCGCCGGCGGGATGGCAGCCCTCACCTGTGGCAGCCCGGGAGTTCAGCCCCAGGAGTGCCAAGCCGCGCTCTGGTAGCGCTCAGGCTCTTCCAGCGCCGCCGCGGAATGCGGGGAAAGATCGGGAAACACACACACTCACACACACACACACCCCCCCCACCCCGTCCCCGCAGCCCCCGGGTGCCGCGTCCCGCACTGCCCTTCCCCCGCCGCCAGGCCGCAGGCCGGGGGGCCTGGGCGGGCTCCGCCGGGGCGGGGAGGGGGGGGGGGTGTGGTTGGGGGGGGGGTTGCCGGCTGGGCCCGGAGGCCGCAGGTCCCGCCGAGGCGATGCCAGATCCAGGTTTTCGCGGCAGCAGCGCGGCCGGGGCGCGGGGGCCGAGGCCGCCGTCCGCTGGGGCGCGGGGGCGGCGGGGGGCGGGGGGCGGCCCGGGGGCGCGGCGGGAGGCGCGGGGCCCGCGGAGCCGCCTGGCCGCGGCCCCGCAGGATCCAGGTAGAGCGGGTCCGGCTTTTACCTTTCTCCTTCGGCTTCCCTGCGCGAAGGGCTGGTGGCCGGGCTGTTTCCTGGTCTCGCAGAAAGAGGCAGTGCTGAGTTAGGGAGACAAAAATAGACCTTTACAGAGAAATATAGGGATTGTGTGCGCGGTGGGGAGGGAGAGAGGAGAGCGGCACCCGGCTGGTTTCCAGGAGGAGCCCTTTTCTCCCTCTCGTTGCATGTTAGGCATTTTTGCACAGATTTCTCCCCCCCCACCCCCTCCCTGCCGGGGCACGGTTACCTCTGCCGCCTGCTCCCCGCATCTCTTCTGGGGAGCCAGCAAACCGACTCCGCCGTGATCAGAAAGCGGCTAGAGACCATTTTATGCGAGCCAGCCGGGGGGGAAGAAGAAGAGAAGAGAAACCCGTCGCAGGGACACACGGATATAAAGACTTGTCTTCTGCCTTTCCCCCCCCCCCCCCCCCCCGCCCCTCCTCCCCCCTTGTAAATACTAAATCTGTAAAGGCAACGATTTGACATCCATCCTAAGCGGCGGCTATGGGGTGTTTGGGCAACAGCAAAACGGAGGATCAGCGTATCGATGAGAAAGCGCAGCGAGAAGCCAACAAAAAAATAGAGAAGCAGTTGCAGAAAGAGAGGCTGGCTTATAAAGCGACACACCGCTTGCTCCTGCTGGGTAAGGAGGAAGGGGGCAGAGGTGGGGGACGGGGAGAGGAGGGCGAGGAGGGGGCATCTGCCCCGGCCCGCCCGGGCGGCAGGGCGCAGCGCAGGGGGTATGAAAAATGTAGGCTGTTGTATGGAGCAACATGCGAGACGGCCACGGATTGAGCTCAGCGCCTGAGCCACATGGATGCATACATACAGAAATGCTGCCGGAGCTGGGAGATGCTGTCACGTCCAAAAAAAAAAAAAAAAAAAAAAAAGCCGAACCAAAAAACAACACCCCAAACCCCCAGCCTGCGCCGTGTGTCACAATGTTCTCCCTTCTTTTTCTTTTAGGGGCTGGTGAGTCAGGAAAAAGCACTATTGTGAAACAAATGCGAATCCTACATGTCAATGGATTTAATTCAGAGTAAGAATTGTTGATGCTTTCTGACTTATTTTTCGTTAAATGTTGGAAACAGGTTAACACACGGGCTAGGAAATTTCTCCTCTCGTCCCCTGTTTTGATGGCTTGACACTGCGTTTTGGGGGAGGGAGGGGAGGAAGGGGAGCGAGAATAAGGAAATTACTGCTATTGTATATTTGCATTTTCTCCTCCTGGCCCCTTTACTGTATTTTACACTGTTGCTACTGCAGCGCTTGACAGGCCCCTGTGTAGCAACAACATGGCGACTACTTTTTACATAGAAGCAAATAACCAAATATTGCATCTGTCTGTAATATAAAAATACATGTCAAGTCATATTCAGGATGACAGTGGCTGCTGTTTTTCCGGTATTTGGCTAAGTGTAAAACTGAAACTAATTTTGCACGTTTGTTAGAAATCATTCTGTTTTCTGTGGCTACATCATTTTTTTTCTGAAGAATTCTTTGCCAGAAATTACTATCAATCCATAGCACTAATTTTCTCTTGGCCTTCAACTGCATGTTGTTAATTTAGAGCATGTTTACAGCATGCTGTAGAAATGAAAGAATGACTTCCAGTTCCATCAGGGGAGGCTTTGCAGATGTGGCTATGATTGTCTGATTTTTAAAAAAAAATCAGGGAGGGATGAATGTGCATTGCTTTTCAAACTGTGCAAGAAAAGAGATAAGGGGAAACATATATTTGTCCTGCTGTTCTTTTCGGTTAGTGTGCTGTAATGATTGAAGAGCAGATAAACAAGCAATCAGTGGAAAAAAAAAAAATTAAATGCAACTGACTGAACTGCTTTGGAAGAAAAAAATCAAAGTTAATATTTCTGTTTTAATGCAGAGAAAAGAAACAGAAAATACTGGATATTCGGAAAAATGTTAAAGATGCGATTGTGGTAAGAACACACTTTATACTGTTCTTAAATGCTTGGGTGTACTGGAAATGATAAGGATTGTGCTCTCCAAGATTGTGCTGAGACAAATCCCATTTTGCTGATCAGATTAGATTATCTATTGATCCTGTATCCAAGATTTATCCAGATTAATGTGTTTGTTTTTGTTTTATTCAATTCTAGACTATAGTTTCAGCTATGAGCACTTTAATACCCCCAGTTCCACTGGCCAACCCAGAAAACCAATTTCGAATGGACTACATCAAGAGTATAGCTCCTCTTTCTGACTTTGACTATACACAGGTAAGAATAGAAACCACTGATTTATTCAGCTTGAAGGTGGAAAGTTTTGCTTCACTTTGATTTACTGAAACGTTGTTTTTTTTACTTTTTGGAAGATGGTCATGGGAAGAGCTTGCACCAGCATTACCACTAGGCTGACTTTTTTGCAAGACTATGGTGGTTGCACCTGTTTCAGTGGCGCACAGTTTTGTTGTTACTCATCTATTTGCTGCTGTTTGTAAATTATGTTTCTGCATTTAGTTCTTTTCTTCAAAATTTCTGATACAATTATACATACTGACATGTCAAGTAAGACTTTGTTGAAAGCTGGTTTCCTACATGGAATTAGATGCAAGATGTCTGTCTGAGGAGTTAACAGTCTACCTGCAGAAAAGGATATAAAAGGCAATAAAAGGATTGAGTGGCACCAGTGTTGCTTTCCATACTTAGTGCACTTCTGAGTGGAAATTTGCATAAATGGTGGTCAAGTAAGGTGGTTTACTTCCTTCTGTATTTATTGTAGTTGGCATAAGCAGTGCTTTACTTATATGTAAACGTTGCCATCTTTTGATACGGAATCATGAGAAAATTAAGGATTTCTCTTATAGAGCCTACTCTTTTGTAGACAAGTGAGAGAGACCTTTTGGATTAACTTGCATAGGCATCTTATGTTTGATTATTTTTATCTTTTCTATGTTATTATTTATAGGAGCACGCATAGACTATTTTATATTTTATACATGACATGAAAGCAAGTCCATAGACATTCTGACTATTACAGGGAATTTTATTTTTGCAGTAGCACAGTTTTCAATTTGCCTTAAAATTATAATGAGAGCAATTTGTTAAGGATACAGTAAGGACTAAAAAAATCTTCATCCGTTGGTTAAATGATTGTGAGCTGTTTGTGCTATCAGAATTACCAAAGCAGCCATTTACAATAGAGTGTCTTTAGGTTATTATAGCTTCAGGGTAGAAGGGGGAGAAGGGGAAGAGTTGTTTCTTTATTATATGACTCATATTCTCTGGTGTGTGGTTTTGCCTCTGGAAAACCTACCACTTTGAAGGTTCAAGATAAAGAAAAAATATCAGACAACTTGTACAGTTAGAATTTAACACAGAATGCAGATGTTAAAAAAACGACTGCAAGGTACATCCACATACTGCATAATTGCTCAATTGGTAGATGTAAGTGAAAATGAGAAACTCTCTTCAGAAATGGAATGTGAGTGTGACAGGAAATACTTGTCTTATGCAGGTATTGCAGTTCTGAAGCATTTGTTGCTTATTTTATGTGGGCCTTTTTTGCTTGAATTTTGACCCTTACATGTTTGGATATAATAAATGGTGGCATCTATCATTTGAAATTCCCTACAGTACATCTGGTTTTTTGAGTTTCTGGGATAAAAGAAAACTAAAGTGGACTTTTCATAGGGCTGGAGATATTTTTATTTTATTGTTTACAAAATTTCTCCTTTTTCACAGAGGCTGACTATGTCTAGTGAAATTTGACTCACTGGTATTTAATAGAGGGGAAACTTATTCATGGAGGGGAAAAGAATAGGACCCACTGGACTGTGCAACAAGTAATAATTTGAAATCTCGATTCAAAGTCCATTTTGGTTTAAAATAATAAAAAAACTAACAACTTTTAAATTAAGTAGAACTCTGAAAATACCATCACGTTATTTGAAATTGTATCAAATGATAGTTCTAATTTTAAAAAACAAAACAAAAAACAGTTGTGATACCTTGAAAAAGAAAAATGGAAAAATGTAGTGCTGGTTTATAAGTAAATATATTTTATGGGTCACTTTCATCTTTTCCCTCCTGTTTTCTTCTCTGCTCTATTCATAGGTTTAATATTTGTGAAATGTGTAGTCTGGCATGATTTTTACTATTTAAAAAAAAAAAAACAACTTGTTGGTTTAGTATGTTATTTCTCTCAAGGAAGATGTGTGAGCAAGACGGACAGATTGAAAAAAAAAATTGCTGTTGTGCTTCAGGGCTTGCTTCTACTCCAGTTTAAGTCAGTGATAACTTAAAGTAAAACTGCGTTTCCAGCTGAAATAACTTTTGACCCATTTAGTATTTTTGGATAAGAACAAATATAAAAATAAATACTTGGATAGTAATCAGTTACGCATCCTTTGCTAAGTATTACTGATTCTTTAATTGATAGCTGATGTATGGAGTAAGGCCTTCTGAGCCAGGGAAACCAATACAGTATTTAGTAGTAGACATTCAGGACTTGTTCTATCATCAGTAGTTAAAAACAGTTGTAAAGGAAAAAATGCTGATTTAGGCAGCACTTAGGTGTTGCCTCTGGAGTAAATTTTGGCACATTCTAAAATTTGACAAAGGTTACCCTTCTCAGTTTGAATGAGGGAAGAGGCAATTTTAGGGTTTTTAACAATATGGGTGATAATGAGCTGTTAAAGACATAGCCCTCAGTGTTGGAATATGAATTACAGATGTGTTACTTTTTGGATTATGTTAGCCATGTAATCTCTGTTGTAAAAATCAATGTATTTTAGTTTGAAGATGCATTTCAAATACATTGCATGTAAAATGTAGGAAGGTGCCTGAACTGTGTCATGAGTCTTTAAAGAGAGATCCCTGATGAAATGCAAAAACTTCACTGATGGCACAATATGACCAACACTCATGAGCCACTAATTTAAATATATTTGTGACATATTGGGTATGCTTGGATATGCATTCTTAAATTGCATACAAATTAACTAATATGCATTTAATTGTGAAAATTGTCCGTTAAAATAAGTGGATTTGAAAATACTGATTTCCTGTGGGTGAAATCGTACTTTTAATTG